AAGAGAACCTGGAAAGTAGCTCACTGGGGAGTGCATGCACACAGTCGAGACCCTTAGAAAGCAGGGGCTGAGCAAACAGTGGATGGCATGGTGGCTAAAGCACTGGACTCCCATGTGATCTACTGCATTTTGAGTCCCAGACCCAACAGCTTGAAACTCATGCCAGGCACATGTGCATGTGTGCCTAAACAATCCCAGGAGGAGAGTGGAGGACTAGCCCCATAGCACAGTGGTGTGGCCATCCCCTGGGGTAGGGGGTGATTTCTAACTTTCCCTCCCACTGTCTCGCAGAGGAAGCCCCAGGATGAGGAGCAAGGAAGGCTGTGGTGGAGACCAGAGCGTGGCAGTGGAAACAAGAGTGGGATGCTGCAGGGAGGCAGAAGGTGCTTCTGGCTCTCAGTGTCCCCGAGGAGCTATTTTGAGACACATTTGCTTAAGAACTTTGGGGAGTAGCTATTATAATAATAAGGGAAACACGAGTGACCCCCTTTCATTCAGTCGAGTGGCCCGAGTTAGAGGAACGAGGGAATAATTGAGTGAGCACGAACAACCAGTCAGGACTATGGGTGTGCCTGGTGTTCAGGAGATGGTACAGGGACATAGTGGGGACAGGGAGGAGAATGGAGAAGGACAGAGGCTCTTCCACCAGCCATACAGCAAGGGCCGTGGTCAAGGAGGAGCTGTTTGTCTGAAATGGGGGAGACCCATACATGCTGTCCCAGGGAACTCCCAAGAGGAGGGAAATGCTTACACCTGGGCTGGTTATAGCTTACGTGGTTATTCGGTTAACAATTTGGATTACTATGCAGGTTCGGACAGTCCCCTGCATTAGTCTAAAGCATCTTCCTTTGGGAAAGCGAGTCTCTGCTTCCTCTCATGGAAGAGCAAGACTCCTGGGGAGAGGCCTAGAACCCACACAGGTCACAGAACCACCAGATCCTGGCCACACACCAAGCCAGGCTCCTAGTCCAGACCAGGAGACAGCGCTGAGCAGGATTTGAGTCTCACGGCCAGAGGGAGAAAAACTCCAACACATTCACTTAAATTGTCAGATTTTACCCTTCCAGCCAGACTGGAACATGCAGGCATGTGTATTTTCATCTTCGGAACAGGTGGTTGGCTATGCAAATAGCGTACTAAGTGTCAGAGCTGTATCCTAGCAGTAGCTACTTTGCAAACGTTACCATGGCACCAATTCAACAGTGTTCTTAGAGGCAGCCACACCTCAGCAAGGTCTTTCTAACTTGGGACGCTAAGTTCAAATGAACTGATATAGATACAAACTGCAAAAGAATCCTGAACTGAGATAGGAGTGGATCTTGACAGCACAATTGCCCTCCAAAGCTACTTGAAACAGGGCATGAGACCGGACAGAGAAAAGAAGGAAATGGACCATCTCCTGTAACACCTGGAATGTGATCCAAGCCTGGAGACAAAATGCTGGTAATTATAACTGCTCACATTCGTTTTTAGCTGCGAACAGATTGGGCACAGATTGTGAAGGGCAAACTCCATTCTCCAGCGATTCCAGTGCAAACTGTGCTTTAAGAGTACTCACTGAGTCCTAGATGGGTGAACCGAGAGCAGATGCCCTCCCAGTATGTTCATTTATGTTAAATGAAGGCAGGCTGTCCTTCCCTGGCCCAGGTCAGGGGCCACTCACGCCAGACACAGGGCCCTTCAGCAGACTGGGCTCTACATACCTCTAGGTCTCCCCGCTCTCCAGAGGGCAATGTATATTTCCCATGCACAGAGCAGAAGGAAGAGGACGAGATGGCAGGGACACAGGCTGATGGGGAAGCAGGTCTTATAGGAGAATGCAAAGGGCCAATGTCAAAAGTGAGTATTAAAAGATAGTCTGGGCGGGGAGGGGGGAGAAATGTTCACCTATTGAAATACCCATTTTGTAAGCCAAATAATAATGTGATTGAATGTAGAAAAGAAAATGAAATTTAAAAAAATAAAAGAAAATTGGTTAAGAAAAAAAAAAGATAGTCTATGGGACTAGCAGTCGGCATAATGGTTACATTGCTAGATTCCTACATGACCGACCACAGTTCAAGTCCTGAACACAGAGGCTTGACACACGCCAGGCGTGTGTGCATGCGTGCCCAAAATCCTGAGAGGAGAATGGAAGAGAAGAAATTGCAGCATGGCCATTCCCCCTTGGGGGTGATTTCTCACTTTCTGTCTCTGTCTTTCTGGCAAGCACACACATGCCCTATAGCAAAATTCTCTCTTAAAAAAAAAAAAAAAAGGAAAAGATTGCAATCAACGACAAATTGACAAAATGAACCATGAATCCTATAAGAGTTCAAAAGGAGCAAGAGTCCCGTGCAAACAGTGAAAGCGTGTCCACAGGGAAACACAGCTGTTGACACTAAGGAGCCCTCGGCAAGATGAGATTGCAGAGCTCCCTCCATTAGGTATCAGGCCACTGGTCCCCAGACCTCCTTCAGGATAGGTGTGACTAACCATTTCTGGCCAAAATAGCCACAAGAGGGGGCACAGAAAGGCAGTGTGTTTATAAAAGCAATCAGGAAGTTTCTGTTTTGCTGCCTTTATCTTAAAAGAAACAAAGATATTTGCTTCCAAAAAGGTTAATCACTGGGACCATTGTACATAATCAACCTGCACACATACCTCCTTAAAAAATAAAGAAAAGGACTGCTTGGCACTGTCTATGTACTATTTCAGCCAAATTGATCTATATATTTTCTTTTACAAATTGTATTTCTTCCATGAAAGAAAAAGACAGACAGAAAGAGGCACCCCAACAGGGTCCCCATGCCAAATTCCAAGTCTTGACCAACCCAGATCACGGGCACACCTGTGCCTGGCATACTCAGGGCAGTCTTGGAACATGAACCCAAGACCCTTTCTATGAGGAACCGGTTGCACCACCAGTATGCTATTGACCAGCCCCATTTATACATTTTCTTTTTCTAATTTTTTTATTTTATAATTATTTTTATTTACCTTTATTTGTTTGTTTTAATTTGACAAGAGAAGGACAGAATGAGAGAGAGGGAGAGCGAGAAAGTGAGACAGCAAGCCACCAGGCCCAGGACTTGAACTGCGGTCAGCCATGTGGGACTCCAGCACCCTTAGCCACCATGCTACCTGCCATCTCTACATTCTCCATGGGTGAACTGAAATCAGCATCTGAGTAGTAACCTGTATGTCAGATGCGCCACCCAGCGGCTGACCACGTAGGGGGCACAACATTCGAGAGTGAGAATTTGGGCCTGTTTTCAGCAAGAGGTGACAGTGGAAGACAGCCAGTCTGATGAAGGCTAATAAGGTGATCCAGGGAGGAAAACAATGCTCAGGATCAAGTGGGGAAAGGTGGCGGGTCCCAGGACATTTGTCCATGGCCAAAGGTTAAATCCAGCTCCCTGGAGGAAGAGAGGGCACAAGGGCCCACAGCCCCAGGGCAGGGGTTCTGCAGCATCAGGAAAGTCCAGCACTAAGGAGAAAACGGAAGTGAACGTCCACCGCAATGGACTGAGCTGATAAAACAGAGGTTAGGAGCACTCCAGCATCGGGTGAGTACGAGGCGCCATTAGCATAATGGTGACATGAGTAAAGCCACACTCCACCTGCAGCTCTTAAATAATTTCTGCCCGATTAGCACTGGAACTCCACAGGTTTCAGCCTGGAGATTATGCTCTGTCAAACACAGACTGGGCTGATACGAGTTGAGAATGACAGAAGTTGATCAAAGGCTTCCATATCTGAGACCATAACAAATACTTAGGATATCACAAGTAAGGTTTTAGAAAGTGAAAAGTATGTTTGGTTGCAATGATCAGTTTACCTGATTTCTATTTTCTGCCTTAATCATTTTGCTGCCTAGGCAAAGTTACATGTAGAAATGAAATCACAAATAGTAGAAAAACACATGGGGATACGTAATTGCATTTCGATGGGGTCAGTTTTTCTAAATACACTTAGGAAAAAAGTAACTGTAAAGGTAAAGATTGCACTACATAGAAATATAAAATTTGGCGCAGTCAAAATATCATCAGCATAATTAAGAGACTCTATAAGCGAGATGAAATATTTGCAACAAATATGACAGAGCTAATATATAGAGTTCTTACAAATCTACAGTGAAAAAGTGTCTAACCTAGGAATAACAAGGGCACATAAGGAAGCTAGCCAGTGGTGCAGTGGTAATGCTCTGTGAAGCAAGGAACGTGGGAAAGCTGGGTTCAAGTTCAGAGACCTCCCTGACTACACCTGGATTGTGCATGCCCATAATCTGGGGCTGGCTGATTGCTGGGAGTGGAGTCCTGCTAGGAGTGTACTCTCTCTCTCTCTCTCTTTCTCTTTTGCTCATGGAAAAAATAAAATTTAGAAAGGGTTCTTTTAGGATGATAGAGTGTTTTACATCTTAAAAACAAAAAATAAGCTACACATTATAACAACAAAGAGATACCTCTGCTCACGTCTTTGGCTGACCAATGGGGTGGTAAACACTGGAGGAGAGAATGCTATAAGATTGGTATACCTACCTACAAAACAATTTGCCAAAATCTGGCCTGATACTATGACTTTTAGTAATCTACACTACAGAAAAACATCAGATATATGAACAACTTAGATTTACGGAAATATTCATCAAGGTGTTGTTTAATCATTTTAAAAGGCAAGAAAATGTATGTTAAATAATAAAATACTAATTGGCTATGACTGTTGCAGTTTTGGAAGAACTTTTAATAACTTGGGAAAATGCTTATGACACATTGCTAAGTGAAAATGCAGGGAATAAAACATGACTTTATTTATGTTGTACATAACATACATTTATAGCAAAAAGACTAGAGGGAATAGAACTGTTAACAGTGACAGGAATATAAACTGATATGCATTGATATAAATTTTATTCTCTCTTTTATGTACCAGTATTTTAAAAAGCATTCCTCATGAAATATACTTGTATAATAAAAAGTTATTTTTAAATGTTTACTTTAAATTGTATAGTATCATGCCCTAGGTAGCTATTTGGGAACAATGATGCCTGGAGAATTCTTTTTTTGTTTATGGGGTTTTTTTTTCTGTTTTGCTATAGGGCAACTGCATTCATCAGAGAGATAGAGGGAAAGTAAGAAAGCAACCCCCAGGGTTGGACAGTCACATCACAATCCCTTCTCTATTCTCCTGTTGAGATCTTGGCCATGCACACACACACACACGCCCCGCATGATTTCCAAGCTGCAGGATTTGGGACTTAAATCGCAGAGTCACACATACACACATATATGTATAAATATATAAAATATAGATGTAAAGGTATATACATATACAAATATATACATATATATAAGTATATATGTATCTTTTTTTTTTTTTTAGAAAAAGAAAGATTTTTTGATATAGGGTGCCTGCACTCACCAGAGAGACAGAAAGCAAGAAATCACCCCCCCTGGGGGGGATGGCCACACTGCAGTCCTTTCTCCTCCATACTCCTCTTGGGAATTGCTGGCACATTCACCTGGCATGAGTTTTAAGCCACCAGGCCTGGGACTTGAACTGTGGTCGGCTATGTGGGAGTTTTAGAAATGTAACCATTGTGCCAACTGTGAGTCCCACCAAAAATATTTTTTTAGGTAAAAAGTATTACTTACAGATTTCAACTTTGGAGGTTTAACATCTCAGAAACTATTGCATTAAATATTCTAAAGAACCATATTTGCTATCTTTTTTGTTTGAATTTGCTAGAAGGCACATGTGCTTGCCAGAGAGAGAGAGACATAGAGAACAAAAGTGAAAAAGCACCCTCCACGGGAGATGGTCATGCCACAATCTCTTCTCCATTCGCCTTTTGGGATTTTAGACACTCGTGCACATCATGTCAAAAATTGTGTTTTACAAGTTGCTGGGTCCAGGACTAAAACCACACAGTCAGCCACGTGGGATCCAGCCACCCTAATGACCACACCACCAGTTGGCCTTTGTATTCATTTTCTATAATAGCAATTTTTAAGAAAATCCTATAACAAGATCAATCACTGGAAATAAAACTCTGAAGTATCAATGAACCACAATCCCAAGAATATTCAAGTGGTGCTTCTACAGGAAGTTTATGCCATTAAGCAAAATTTAGCCCATATTTTATTCTGGAAAGAATAATAATGTTCAACCAGTCCATGGACACAAGCTTGGACCCGGCTTGAGAAGTGCACTGGGTGCATGTGCATATGTCCCCAAAATCAAAAGGAGGAAGAAATAGAGAAGAAGAGATGATGACATGATCACTCCCCATTGGGGATACTTTCTCTCTCACTCTCTCTGTCTCTCTCAGGTGAGGGCACATACCCTCTAGCAAGTCAAAAAAAAATTATTGCTGATGACTTTAATAGCTGATTCTAAAGGCAAGCACCTTCAAAACCTCTGCACAATATACTGGACACTATAACATTCAGAGAGACAAAGAACGTCATGAACAAAATGCAAAATCCCTGCTTATTTCTTTGGACTTTTATAAATAGGAATCATCTATTAGGTTGTTGGAAAAGTCATGACACATTTTACATAGAAAAAAATATGCCAAGACTTTTCCGACAACCCAATAGATGACCCTGGAATTTGCACTATTACTACAAGAGCTAGTATTTATTGAGTCTTGACTATGTGTCAGGCACACAGTAAAGCATATTACATTTATTCTACAGTTCTATCCCCAAGACAATCTTAGGATTGGGTGGGTACTACTATTATCTTCATCTTACAGACAGGGAAGCTGTTTCCCAGATATTAACTAACTTGCCAAAAGCCACCTAACTGGAAAGCGGCAGAGCCCAAATCTGAAACAAGACAGTCTGTTTCTAGAGCTTAACCTGTTTGCTCTGACTCAGAATCTATGAAACAAGTTGTATTATACCCTTCTGTTTTGTCTCCTCCCTACTCTTGAGGAGTCTCATATATATATGAATCCTGAGTTTTTTAATTTATGTGTGTGGTATATATAACTGTCTTTCAGAATCAAAAATGCTACTAGGGTTAGTATGCTACTTCCTTTAGAGAAAAGTATAGTTTAGTAAGTTAATACATTGGGACCAGCAGGTAGCATCATGTCCAATACATGTCAAACACATCATGTCCAAAATTGGTTAAGGTGCTGAACTCCCAATAGGAGTTCAAGTCTCAGACCTGGCAACCTTCTTTCTCTCTCTCTAGTCAAACTGAATAATAATAATAATAATAATAATAATAATAATAATAATAATAATTAATTAAATTAAACAATTCTTTATATATATAAAATTTAAAAATAAATCAATGTATTGTCTTCAGTTTTTCCTGCACTGGTTTTATACATAATTTCTCTTCCTTGCTTAGGTTTGCAGTTAGAAGATAATAAAACCAGCAATGGAACCCTTATATGAGGAATACCTAGCCAATCGTGGAACAATAGTAAAACCGTATTACTGGCAAAGCTTCTCTCTAGACTGCTCTAATTGTCCTTATCACATACGAACAGGTGAAGAAGCAAGAGTTCCCAGTTCAGAATTCTATCAGATTTTTGGATTCCCTTATGGGCCAACATACCCTCAAACAAAACACCTCACATTTTATGAGCTAAAGACATCTTCTGGTAGTCTGGTGCAAAAGGGACACGCTAGCAGTTGCTCTGGGAATCAGATCCACCCAGAATCCATGCTCTTTGAGATGAATGGTTATCTTGATTTGGCCGTATACAATAACGGTGGCATCAGACATATCGTTCTGTACTCCAACCACTCCCCCTGTAATGAAGCGCACCACTGCTGCATCAGCAAAATGTACAATTTCCTGATTACGCACCCAGACATCACGCTTAGTATTTACTTTTCTCAGCTCTATCATACCGAGAGTGAATTTCCCACCTCAGCGTGGAACCGTGAAGCTCTCAGGAGCCTGGCCAGCTTCTGGCCACGGGTCACATTGAGTCCAATAAGTGGTGGGATTTGGCATTCTCTCCTCAACAATTTTGTTAGTGGTGTATCAGGATCAACTGTTTTCCAGCCCATTCTAACTGGGAGAGCACTGGCCGACCGGCACAATGCCTACGAAATCAACGCCATAACAGGGGTGAAACCGTACTTCACTGATGTTCTTCCCCAGACTAAACAGCATCAGAGCACAAAAGCTCAGACAGCTTTAGAGAACGGCCACTTAAACAATGTCTTTCCTATACAGTCTTTTCAAGGGACGAGTGGACAACTGCAACCCAGCCTGACTCCAGACTTCAGGGTTCCTATTGTTTTTGTACTAGTGCCTTTCAGGGACCTACCGCCGCTTCATGTGAGTCAAAATCCACACAAACCAAGGAACGTCGTAAGGCACTTAAACATGCCTCAAATGTCATTCCAAGAAACCAGGGACCTTGGTAAGCCTTCCATTGGAAAGCCAATGGAGATGGTGGAAATCACAGAGCGACTAGCAAATAGCAAAGAAGCAGATGAAAAGAAGAAGAAAGGGAAAAAATAAAATCTACATTCCTACAGCATGAAACCAATAACAAGAGGACTTATCAGATAGGCAATGAAAAGGTCTGATTCTTAGGTCTGATCCAAGATGGAGACAAACAGACGCACTAAAAGCAAAAACCTGAATTATTTACCCTATCCACTATTATAAAGCTACATTATTTTTAACATCCAAATGTTCCCAGAAGCAACTTGATCTCTTGCCTTTATTTGGAAAGTGACAGTATCAAATGGAGCCATTAGTACCTTGCTAATGTTTTGGTGAAGAAAAGGAATGTTATTATTACGGTCTGCCCACACCATCTTTCCACTAAAAAGCCCAAGGACTAAATAGCTTCCTAAATTGGTTTCAGTATAGAAATTGACTGTAAAATTGGAAAAGAGCCCGAAGTTACTGACATTAAGAGCTGTTTGCAAGAGCAAACCAGTGATTTTCCATTATTTGTTAATCGTGGACAGAAGATTTTAGGCAGCCCATTTTTTTCTAAAGTGATTCAAAATAGTTTTGTGTGGGAAAAAGCTCTTCTGCTTATTGATTACATATAGCTATGAAATTGATTTTTGAAACGAGCCACCTGCTCTGTTTGATCTTTCCCAGCTCAGAGCGCTCCCTATTGAGCAGATGACAGAGACGGAATGATACAGGAAGGCTCCCTCCACCACAGGCCATCTAAAATCCAGGTCACTCTTACTGGCTTTCAAAGCTCCTCTTTCACCTTCTTGACTTGTCTTATCTGCAAAACTGTAGGTTTCTGTAGGTAAAGCCCTGTCTCTCTCCCCTCTTTTGCTTTTCTCCTTATTAGCTCAGCCATTTAGCCCAGTAACCAACCACAGTGAGACTACATCTCAGTACTTTCACCAATCACTCGTCCCCAACACCCCTTCTCCACTCCAGCCAAGTACTTACTTAACCATCCTGCAATAGACATCTTTCTCCTGGTTAGCATCTATCCTCCCCTTCCTCTGCTATAGCTCCCCAAAGCAAAATTTGTTTACTCCCCTTTCTTCTGACTTCCTCTTCACCAGTGCATATCTGCACCTTCTTTTAAAATGGTGTTCAAAACACACTCAAAGGAAATGCCCCTCTACTGAGCACTTAAGTGAAAGTGAAAGCACTTTGCTTATGGTTACTTAATTCATATTTGCTGCCCCATTCCCTGTTGGAAATAGTAATATGTATATGTAAAGCGAAATGTGCATTTATTTGTAACTTGCAACTAAATGTTTTCTTAACATATATAAAAAGTAATGCTAAGCTACTAAGATAGTGCACCATTACAAACGCACTCGATGAAGATCAGGAGGAAGAGAAGAAAGTGCTTTAGGAACAGACCCTAATATGGTGATCAAAATACATATGAATAAAATTTTTAAAGAAAATTCTATTGTTAGCCTGAAAATATTTATAGAATTATTGGGATATAATTTTATTGTGAGTCCATAGTTACTACTACTTAAAGAGGTACTGCTGAAGTTTATTATTAGGTCATGAAATCAAATAGCCATAATTTAGGATGTTGTGTTTTTTAAAAAATGACCAATTTATCATCCCTTAGCATTATAAAAATAGATCCAATGTGTTGCCATAAAATATATCCAAAATAGTAAATAGAATATAACATCAAAGGATCCATAGTCTAAATTCTATGACAGAGAATCTACAGTCTGAAATCTATGAGGATTTTATATTTTAAATGTGAACCTGCGGTCAGCTTGCAACCTGGTGGTTAAGGGAGCTGGATCCTGCATGGTAAACCACATGGTTGAGTCCCAGACCCAGCGCCTTAGAAAGCACACCACACATATGTGTGAACATGCCCAAAATCCTGAATGGAAGCAGAGATGGAGGAGAAGGGATTGCAACAGGAGTACCCATGAAGGTGCTTTCTCCCTCTTCCAATGTCTCTCTATATCTCTGTCTCTCTCTCTTGTCTCTCCTGTCTCTCTGGTGAGTGCATGTACACTCTGGCAAATTTTTTTAAAAATGTGGACCTGTTTATCAATTACATACAGCAAAAGGAGGAATGCTGCCAGAATAGTAGGAAAGAAAAGCATCTTGAGCAGTTAAATTTGTGTACTGGCTACATACAACGTGGGCAAGGAAAATGAATATACAACGACCACAAGCTCAAGCCAATACAGTCAAGCCTTAGATTAAAGACTGTTAAGGGAGCAAGAAGATACAAGCCAGGCAAATAACCTATTTCTTCATCTGTAAAACAAAGAGACATGAGCTGGTTCACCTTAAGGTTCCTGTCAGCTCTGTTATAAGAGGAATGTAGAAAGCCAAATGGTGATGCAGCAGTAAAACAAGACACTCTGCAAAGTTGACCTATATGGGACGGTTCCAAGATCGCATCCAGAGACCTCCCTAAACACCCTGCATGTGCCCATGATCTGGGGCTGGCAAGGCTGGGCGTGGATCAAGGCATCAAAACCGCATTTTGGAAGTGCTGTTCCCCTCTCTCTCCCTCCCTTTCTCCTTTCTCTGTGTGTCTCTCGCTCATGGAAGAAATAAATAATAAGGTTAAAAAAAATTTTAGGGGCCAGCAGGTAGTGTGGTTGTTAAGGCACTGGATTTCCACAAGGCCAGCTGCAGTTCAAATCCTGGACCTGGCCACTTGCTTTCTCACTTTCCCTCTCTTGCTTGCTCTGTCTCTGGGGAGCACATGAATTCTATAGCAAATTAATAATAATAATAACAATAAATTAAGTTATGTAATTTTTTAAAAGTTTTAAATAATTTTCAAAAAAAGCTTATAACAAAGCAACAATTTCACAGAGTAAGTTCGAGTAGGGAACTGATCAGGTCGTCTTCTCACTACACGATGGGTTTTTCTTTTTTTAGTTTTTGCGGTAGAGTGCAGGTGCTCCCCAGAGAGAGACAGAGGGGAAAATAAGAAATTAAACCCCCCCCCCATGGGACATGGCCACATCACAATCCCTTCTCCTCCAGTCTCCTCTCAAGATTTTGGGGACACACACATAGGCATCTGGCATGATTTTTAAGCCGCCAGGTCTGAGACTTCAACTGCACAGTCGGCCATGTAGGATCTAGCACCTAAACTCCATGTCACCTGCTGGCCCCACAATGGATTCTTAATCACGTCAGGATGGCCCAGAAATTGAGGGAGAGGTTAAGGCAGGATGTCCTAGCCCTCTTCAGCAAACTGGCAACAGTAAAGAGAATTATTGCCATCACAAATAGGGAAATTAGAGAAAATTGAAAATACAAAAATAAGAGAAAATAGAAGTCTGTGAATTAAAGCATATGGCACAATGAGCTGAAAAAGGCACTGGGGTGCATCTCAAAAACACCAATGGCAGGGAACCAGCAGTTAGCGTAATGGCTATGTCGCTGGACTCCCACGTAGTCGACCGCGGTTCGCGTCCCAGACCCTGTGGCTTAGAACTCACGCCGGGCGCGTGTGCGTGCGTGCCCAAGATCCCGAGAGGAGAATGGAGGATAAGGGATTGCGGCGTGACCATCCCCCCTGGGGGGTGATTTCTTGCTTTCTGTCTCTATGTCTCTCTCTGTCTGTCTGGCGAGCGCACGCGCCCTATAGCGAAAATCTCTCAAAAAAAAACAAAACAAAACAAAACAAAACAAAAAACAAAAAACAAACAAACAAAAAAAAAAACACCAATGGCAGTAAAGGGAAGGGAGCATTATCATGACCTAGGGTTTGGCTCTCGGCTTGTTGGTTTGACTCTAAGCTTGTAGCTTAGTGTAAACACAATGGGCTTATTAATCAGGAGCAGACTCGGAATAACAAAGACAGACGCGTAAAGGTAAATAGATCGATTTCCAGTGAAGTTTTAACGGGATATGCAAGCAGATATTCAAGTCATCCAACCTGGACAGCCTCTTCATGTAGATACACTGCAAGAAGCCAAATTATAATCAAAAGGTCATTTTGTGGATTAGAAGAGTTTATTGTGTGACTCAAATGTTTAGTGCTATGACTCTGCTTTTGTGGTAAGGATAACATCTGTCACTTGGAAGGAAATGGAAGGGTGTATACAGGGGCATCTGTCACTTGGACAGTGTGTGGGTGGGCCCAGACTGTAGGCAATTCTGTTTCTGGGTGTACACCCTAAATAAGTGAAAACAGAGTTTCAATGAGATATTTATACACACACGTTTATAGCAGCAACATTTATAACGGCTAAAAGGTGGACATAAGCCAAGTGTCCACTAACAGGTGAATGGATAAACAAAATGTGTACACACATAGAAAGGATTGCTCTTCAGCCTTAAGAAGCAAGGAAATTCTGATACACACCACAACATGGCTAAATCTTTTTTTTTTTTTTGGAGAGATTTTTGCTATAGGGTGTGTGTGCTCGCCAGAGAGACAGAGAGAGACAGAAAGACAGAAAGTGAGAAATCACCCCCCATGGGGGATGGCCACACTGCAATCCCTTCTCCTCCATTCTCCTCTTGGGATCTTGGGCACATACACACATGCCCCCGATGTGAGTTTAAGCCACTGGGTCCAGGACTCAAACTGCAGTCGGCTACATGGGAGTCCAGCGACATAGCTATTACGCTAACTGCTGGTCCCAACATGGCTAAATCTTGAGAATATTCTGCTAAGTGAAATAAGCCAGTCACAAAAAAGACAAATACTGTATGATCCCACTTACACGAGATACCTAGAATAGTCAAATTCACAGAGACAGAAAGTGGAGTGATGGTTGCCAGGGACTGGAGAGGGGGAGAAAAGAGAGTTATTGTCTCTCTTTGAGAGACAAAAATAAAGAGAGTTATTGGCACAGAGTTTCAGCTTCATAAAGTAAAAAGGATTCTGGAAATGGGTGGCAGTAATAGTTACACAACGATGTGAATATACTTGATACCACTTTACTATACCCTTTAAAGGGTTGCCAGTATGTTATGTGTATTTTACAGTAACTTTTTTAAAAACTTAATGGAGACGTTTTAAAAGAGTGACATATCCTCCCCCATGACATCTTTTTTATGTTACAATAAATAGTAGGTAAAGGCTCTGTGTCTGGTCTCAAAATACTGAGATGAGGTGGGGAACGCTCACAGGAATACATAAAAAATCCTTTGAAAATCATTACAGGGGGCCAGCCAGTGACGTAATGGTTAAGGCACTGGATCCCACATGGTGAACCATGTGTTTGAGTCCCCCAGTGGCTTGAGAGGCACACATGTGCCTGGCCAAAATCCTGAGAAGAGAGTAGAGGATAAGGGATTACACAGCAGCCATCTCTGGGAGGTGATTTCTCACTTTCTCTCCCTCTCACTCTCGCTCTCGCTCTCACTCTCTCTCCCTCTCCAAAGAGCACATGCACCCTATGGCAAAACTAAAAATATAAAATAAATCATTATAGGGCTGGTGGTGGTTCAGTAGTAACCCAATGCTCTGCAATGCTGGATCCACACTAGGAAGGTTCCAGGTTTGCATCCTGAGGCCTCCCCGGACAGGTTGGACATGCACACATATGCTCGTAATCCTGGCTGGCTGAGGCTAGGAATGGATCGTGGCATGAAGACCCTATTGGGGGTACCTCTCATTGTATCTCTCTCTTTTTCAAGAAAAAAAGGTCCTTTTAGTTTCACAATTTGTAGGTCATTTCAAGCTGTTATGTGGGCTCATTTGGACCCCTGCTACTTGGTTATACCTTTATTTTAAGAAAAAGGATATGACAGTTGAAAATAATGAGAAAGACTTACTAGAAGTAGAGAGTGGTGATTAAAAGGACAACCTTTGGAATCTGACAAATCTAGTACCATACCACACCAGTCTGCCACCTGCTAATTGAGTATCATTACCTCTGTGAGGTTTCCTCATTCATAAAATGGGAACACCAATTCTTAGGCCTAAAACCACTCTGAGGATTAAATAATGTAAGTGTGGGCTTATTTACCAAGCGTCTGAATTGGTAAATAAACACTCATTAAATTGTTATCATTATTTAAAAATAGGAACAGGATAAAGATGAACAATAAGGGACTAGCAGGTGGTGTGGTGATTAAGGCAGCTGGATCCCACATGGCTGGCTGTATGGTGGGAATCCCAAACCTGGCAGCTTTAAAACACACCAGGTGTGCATGCACATGTGCCCAAAATCTGATAGGAAACTAGAGGAGAAGGGATTGCTGTGTAGCCAACCCTCAGGAGTGATTTCTCACCTCTCCTTTCTCTCTCTCTCTCAAGCACAAGTGCCCTATAGCAAAACAAAACAAAACAAAACAAAACTTAAAAAGAGATGGACAATAGGAAATGCTAGGTATTGCAAAATCTTTCCAATTTTATCAGAATTTTGAGTCTGAGATTCCTATTCTCTATGAAAATA